TCGGGCCCGTCTGTCATATGACAACAACCGGACCCATCGGGTGTGTGCGGACTGCTACGTCATGCTGGTGGGCATGTCCGCGTCGCCTCCATCTCTAAGCAACACCTCCCACAGGAGACGCTCCATCTTGGAGGTGAGTGTGACCTCACCCTGACATTGCTGTGACATCACCAGGCCACAGATGTTCACCCTCCCCTGTTCTCTATGTCTTGCCACAGAAACAGGCCTCCCTGGCGGCAGAGCACAGCGTGATCTGCTCTTTTCTCCACCACATGGAAAAAGGAGGCGGGAGGAGCTGGCAGAAGGCCTGGTTCGTCATCCCGGAGAATGAGCCCCTGGTCCTCTACATCTACGGAGCTCCTCAGGTATGTACGTCCAAGAGGTGTGAGAGGAGGAGGTAGAGGAGATTTGAAGATTTTGAGGCGTATAAGGTTTGACGAGGAATTGAGGAAGATTGACGATAATTTGAGGACGTTTAAGGGGGGGCTTGACAAGGTTTGAGGGGGACTTGAGGTGGTGAGAGCGGGTTGAGGAGGACTTGAGAGTGTTTGAATAGGAGTTGAGGAGGTCTGGAGGAAGTGTGAGGGTTTGAGGTGACCGGCAGAATGTTTGAGTAGAACGTGAGGTGTTTGAAGAGGACTGAGAAGTTGAGGAGGACTGTGAGTTTTAAGGAGGGGGTTGGAGGGAAGCAGAGGTGAAGAATGGTGTTTGAGGAGGACTTGAGAAGGTTTGTGGAGGACTTGAGGAGGACCTAAGGAGGTCTTAAGGGAGTGTGAAGTTATGAGGAGGACTTGTGAAGTGCTTAAAGTGGTGTGAGTGTGAGTTGTTTGAGGAGGTGTGAGGTGTTTGAGGAGGCCTTGATAAGGTTTGAGGAGGCCTTGATGAAGACTTGAGGAATACTTTAAGTGTTGTGATAGGTTTCAGGAGAAGTTGAGGAAGTGTCAGGGCTTTTAGGAGGCGTGAGGAGGTTTGAGGAGATCTTGAGGAGGTCTTGAGGATGTTTGAGAAGGACAGGGCGAGGTTTTACAAACACTTTTGTAGGAGGACTGAGGAGGTTTTAGGAAGACTCACGGAGGTTTGACGAGGACTTAAGGAGTAGGGCTGCAACTATCAATTATTTTCCTAATCGTCTAACGACTATTTACCAGTGTAAGAGCGTGGAAACAAACAAAGAGGCAAGCATTCCTTTTGGCTTCAACATGTGGCTGTTTATTTACATCCAACGCCATCTCTCACACATCACTTCCTGCTCCCTTTTTACCCCCCATGTCACCATGTTTATGCCGCTTTCTCTTGAAAGGCCCTGTGAATTTGTTCCTGTGAGTCCCCTACAATAGCAAATTAAAATGATTACTCAACACGTTGGAATTTGAAGTAACAAGTTAAGCTAAGATAAGCTAATTAGCGTAATTTGGGGAGCAAGACCACGCCTCCAACAACTCAACCCACTCTTCTCGTTCTCGAGTACGCATCCTAAAAACCCCACCCTCCCAACACCTTTTTCTTTTCTTTTTACTCCCTCTTTTTCCAGCATTTGGTAGGGCCCTGAAGGTTTTCGTAGGGCCCTGAAGGTTTTCGTTGGGCCCTGAAGGTGTTCGTTGGGCCCTGAAGGTTTTGTAGGTGCCCTGAAGGTGTTCGCCGTGCCCCAGGCGCACGGCGGATCCTCCCACGTAGTTCCCCACAACCCATCCGACCGACCAGACGAAATAAATCAACGACACATTCATCATGTTAAACGCCTTCAGTGAATGGCGGGGTCTTTGCTAGTGAAAAATACATTAAATAGTAATACAAAACGTAAGTGCAAAAATGTGTTTAAAAGTAAAGAGAAAGTGCAAATACATTTTTTAAAATGAACTCAAAATAGCAATAAAGTCTATGCAAGTGACGAGCATGTTGAGGATGTGCTCTGTCCAGACTCCTTCATCTGAGGGTGCACGATCCTCTGAAGGACAAACTGCTTAGTACTAAAAGAGAGAGAAAAACACACAGAGCTTTAATTATCAGGTTGTAGGCTTTAGAATCGTAGTTTGTATCATTATTATTATTATTATTTGTATTATGTAGGTAATTGTGTTGATATGAAATTATTTTTTTCCACAATCTTTTGTTTGAAGACTTGTAAACCTTAGAATAAGCTAACAACGCTAACGTTTCTTTAGCTAACTTAACCTTCCCATGAGAAGAAGACGTGGAGGCTCCAGAAATGTTCCTTATACTTTTAGTTTGAATTGAGGAGGTTTGATGAAGGGTAGTAGTCTGGCTTGACGATGACTTGACAAGGTGTGAGGGGTAAAAAGAGTTCTGATGTGTTTGAGGAAGACTTGAGGGGTTTGTTGAGGAGTCGAGGACGTGTGAGGGCTTTAAGGAAATGTGAGGGGTTTGAGGAATACTTTTTAGGAAGACAAGGTGTTCTAATGAGAACTTGAGGTGGTGTCAGAGATTTGAGGAGGACCTGAGAAAGACTAAGGAGGCTTGAAAAGAACTTGAGGAGGTCCAGGGAGTACTTGAACAGGTTTGAGGATGACCTGATAAGGTGTGATAATGACCATGAAGTTTTAAGGAGCTTTGAGGAGGACTTGAGGAAGTTTGACAACGGCTTGAGGATGTTTTCAAGGACAAGGCACTTTGAGGACTTTAGGAGGTTTGACTGGGACCTAAGGAGGACTATCAGAGATTTTAAGAGGTTTGCGGGGAACTGTCTGGAGGTCAGACGAGGACTCGAGGTGTTTGAAGATGACTGTGAAGAGGCTTGAGGAGGACATTTGAAGGTTTAAGGAGGACTCTCAGGTTTTAGGAGGACTTTAGGAGGTTTGTGAGGAGGTTTGAAGATGACTGTGAAGAGGCTTGAGGAGAACATTAGAAGGTTTAAGGAGGACTCTGTGGTTTTAGGAGGACGTAAGGAGGTCTTTAGGAGGTTTGTGAGGAGGTTTGAGGAGGACTTGAGGAGATCTGACGAGTTTTGAAAAGGACTGTAGGACATTGAGGAGGTTGAGGTGTTGAGGACTGGAAGTGGTGTCAGGCGTTTGATGACTGAGGACAACTTGAGAAGATGTTTGAGGAGGTCGCTGTTAACCATAATGTACTCTGAGAACGCCATTGATCTTTCCTTCACCAGGATGTGAAGGCCAAACGCAGCATTCCTCTGATTGGCTTTGACGTCTCTCTCCCGGAGTCATTTGATCGGCTGGAGCGACGCCACGCCTTCAAGATTTCCCAGAGTCACCTGACCCTGTACTTCAGCGCCGAGGGGGAGGAGCTACAGCGGCGATGGATTGACGTCCTGCTGAGGGCTGGACGAGGGGAGGAGCCTCACGTCCACCGCCCAATTGTGGAGAGTGTGGAAGAGGAGGGGGAGGGGGAGGAGCTGGCAGCGGAGGTGGAGAACACGTGATCCTGTGGGATGAAGAAGGACGGCAACAATGAACTCTGCATAATCCTTCCTCGCTGTCTTTTTTTCCCCGTGTTTTCGTGACACAGTGAGGTGGGCGGAGCTTCTTCTTCTCACAGGAAACATTTTTTTCTCCTGAGTTTGGTTTTAAACACTAACCATTAGTCTCAGCTACTGTTGCTATAGAGATACACAGCGATCTCATGCAGAAGTAATCTGTCGTCTGGGTGGTTAATGTCAATGATGTGATTAGGACCAGGGTTAGGACCAATGAAGTTGTGGTCACATGACAGACGTTGACAACACAAAGAAAACTAAGGACTAAAGTACGTGATGGACACGTGTTGAACTTGTCCAACACGTGTTGGAAAAGGGAGAATACAAACCAACCATGTCCTCTTAAAATACATTTGTGCATTTTCAATGTTTGACTTTTCCCCTGAAGAAAACACTTTTAAACTTTGACCTCTAAAGCTGCCAATCAGAGCAACTTGTATAAACTGAAACTACAGTTCCGAGCAGCCTCTGCTCCATTGGAGAAGTGTGCTATTGTAAAGTAGTGATGAGGATGAGGATGATGGTGGTGATGAAGATGAAGACACTGACTACATTTACATGCACTAAATAGTCTCTTTTTCAAATGACTGATTATGTTGTTTGATTAACTTCCTGCTTTCTATTCGTCCATCTTTCTTTTTGGACCGAGGCTCATATTTTGAAAGGACAGAATTCTCCCGAACTCGGAATAGTGTCTCAGATCTGATGTGATGTTTACATGAGATCAAATATGAATGTTCATGTAAACGTGGCCACCGACGGTTTCATGTTTGATGTTTGAACCCTTCTGCAGGACTCTGATGATGAAGATTAGTTTGCTTCTGGACTTGGATGCAAGTTTTAAAAGGTTTTTTTAAGCCGATTCTCAATGTTTCAGTGACTCCAGTGATTAGATGATTAGATTCAACAAGAACTCAAAAAAAGAAAGACTATGAAGTCCCTCCAGGGGTCCAGTGTTCCTCCCTCCATCTCTGTAAAGACCTTCTTGACAAAGTGTTTTGATAGTGAAAAGATTATTAATATTATTATTGTTATTCTGATGAACTGTTTACAGGTTGTGTTCCATGTTTTGCCTGATTCCAGTTAATGCAAGAAGAAAAAATATGAGTGAAGATTTTGTAAATATAATTTATTATTTCGTGACCTCCGTGGTCATGTAACTCAGTAAAGGTCAAAGATTAACGCTCGCCTGCCCCCAGCCACCAACAGCCAGAGCCAAACAGACACAGCTGCGATTAACGGCTGACAGGGTGAAGGTTAAAGGAACAATCGGTCTACATGTTTCACATATCTATCAGTCCCCTCCTCCGTCTCCAGTGTTTGTGCTAAGCTAGGCTAGCCGTATCCCCTCTTTCTCGGGTGCCTTGGTGCTATGCTAAGCTTCCGGTTTCCCCCCTGCTGCCAGTCTTTGTTTGAAGCTAAGCTACCATTTTCTCCCTGGCATTCAGCCTTGGTGCTATGCTGAAGGTAGTATTTCCACTTAACTAATTTCCCCCTGCTTCTAGACTTTGTGCTAAGCTAGCCTTACCGCCCCGGCCGGTCGTTAACATGGTGCTCAGTCTGGTCATGGCCCTGGTTGTCACAGAGTATGGTCTGTATGGTTCCTATCATCACCACTTGGTGGAAAACATTTTAAATCTCAATCTCAGCAAATTGTGTTGAACAGTCGTTTTCTAACCAGTCTGGACTGGTTCTTACTCGTTAAGACGTGTGTGTGTGTGTGTGTGTGTATCTATGTTTGTGTGGGTGATACAGTTGATTGTGTCGTATCAGTGCGGTGTGCACTTTCTCTTCATGTGCCAGAGCACATTTTCAAAGATATACCGTATTCAGAGTGAAGTTGTTGGCTAATATATCATATTATGTTTCAGTATTTCTTGTTGTTTTGGGCTGGATACCAGTTTAAAGCCAGTTAGCGTCTCTTTCACCAGTTTAAGCCGGTTATATCCAGAGAGGAACAAGAGGTTATTACAGACATGAGATTATTGAAGAGACTATGCTCCCACGTTTAAACAGGTGTGAGCTCACGCTGATGAAAGCTAGCTCTGGCTCAGAGGTTAGCTTCAGCTCTGGCTAACTAAAGGTAAACTTTAGCTTGGGTGCTAAGTTTAGCTTGAAAGCCAGCTCTAGCTCAGAGGCTAGTTCTCCTGATAACTTAACCACACTTAATAATTAACATGATATAATTTGAACAGGCCATTTACACTTCATCGCAGAAGTTCATAATTTGAGGCTTTCTGTGTTGAGAAAGCATCAAAAAATCTGTTGCAGCGTTAGCTAAACATTCACCAAGTGACCTGTGGAGCTTTGTGTGAAAACAAAGCTAATGTTGGCTCCAGCTAGACACGTGTATCCGTGTTGTTCTTCATGGTGGAGCTGCTCGTCAACTAGCTAATGACCTTCCTTTGAGTCATTGCGAGGATAAATTAAGAAGTAGCACCAAGAACCAACCCTGTTCAGAAAGATGCTAAGAGCTAGCGGCTACAGAGCTAACCAGTCAGGAGCATTATAACAAGAGTAATTCACCTCACATGAGTCAAACTTCACCAAAGTGACTGAAGGTCTGCGTGACTTTGTCTTCCTGAGCGAATCTGCTGACCGTAGCGATGAAAAGAATGAACTTTAAATGTGGCCTCGCTATGATCTGTTTTCTACTCTGAAGCCAGTGAGCATTTAAGCTTTTTATAGTCCTGTACTTTTTTAGGTTCTAGCTGGTTTATTTACAACCAGCTCTAACCGGGCAGAGCTCATTCTCACTGGTCCTAACTGGTTCTGCTGTCCTGTCTATTATCAGATGACTCACTGTCGGTGGTTTTGTATTTATTTGTCTTTTTTAATCCAAAGTGTTATTATGTTAGGATTTTTTTACTTGTCCTGATCACAGTGATTTCTGATTATCAGACGCTCACACTGTCCCGGACTAGAGATGAAAACCACATGAAACAATGCAAATAATGTTGATGTTAGTAAATGACCCCCAACAAAACAGAAGGGTGCCCACTGGTGATAATTGGAGCTAACCAGAGCTAGCCGTTTCTAAGGTTTGAACATGTTTCCATAGTTTGTGTACGTAATTAAATCCCAAGTGGCTAACATGGAGATTTATGTTTTACAGCGGGCCTCAGTTACCATTTAGCTGTAGCAGCTAGCATTCTGCCTGGTGGATTACAAGCCGCTGCAGCTAACAGGTAAGCATGCTAGTTTCAGGTGAGACGTCTGTGACCTCATCACATACCGGTGAAGAGATTCTGAACGCTGAACCTTTACCAGCCAATCAGAGGGGGAACGGGCTGTGATGTCATCTAATTGAATGACAACACCAGGAAACAGGAAACATTTATTGCCAAAATATCCGCTGGTTACTGGACTCCAGTAAGCTTGATAACAACACACGCATCTTCTCTCCGGGTGCAGCAGCAGCACGGTCAAGTGTTCTTCCTGTCATAGATTTTGTACCTTGTTATTATTTATTATTGAGTGTTGATTGATTGATTGCAGGTTGTTGGTTAGTGGCCGGCCACTTTCCCATCGTGCCCTTCTGTTTCCCACCATGACCTTCTATAGGAAAATACTATAAAACATGTTTATGAGATATAAATTAAATAAAAACGTAAAAACTGAATATTGGAAGTACTTGTACTACTCATATATATATGAATATAGTTATATTGTAGTTATAGTTTAGGGCTGTCAACATTAACGTGTTAATCGATGAATATTTTAACGCAGTTAATGCAACTTTGTTTACTATTCTACAAACTCATTTACCAATCTTGCCTCTGGGGGCTTTACAGTCTGTATACATGAGACACCCTCTGTCCCTCACATCGGCACAGGAAAAACTCCCCATTAAAACCCTTCCATGGGCAAAAAAGGGAAGAAACCATGGGAGAGATTACATTACATCACATGTCATTTAGCTGTCACTTTTATCCAAAGCGACGAATAAGAACATTTCAACCATAAGGACACAAACTCAGAAGAACAAGAAACAAGAAAGTGTGATTTCATCAAATAAGCCGCTTTACAACTTGCTGTAGATAAGAACCATTATAAGTCCAATGTAAGTGCTCCAGTTAGTTAGTGTGTTAGTGGAGGTAGAGTGTGAAGAGGTGTGTCTTTAGTCTGAAGATGTGAAGGCTCTCTGTGGTCCTGATGTCTTCAGAGACCTCCTTCCACCATTTAGGAGCAGGACAGCAAAGAGTGGAGATCTAGTGGAGTGTTTTGCTCTCAGTGAGGAGGAACAAGCAGTTTATCACATGCAGAGCGGAGAGTGCGGGTCGGGATGTCGGGTTGGACCAGGTCCTGGATGTAAGCTGGACCCCATCCATTCACAGCGTGGTACGTGAGCACCATGTTTAGAACTGGATGAGCCACCGGTACCAGTGAAGAGAGCGGAGGAGTGGAGGAGTGAGGGAGAACTTAGGAAGGTTAAAGACCAGTGGAGCTGCTGCATTGTGGATGAGCTGCAGAGGTGGAATGGTGGTAGCAGGAGACCTGCAGGAGAGAGTTACAGTAGTCCAGGAGGGAGACGACAAGAGCCTGAATCAGTACCTTCTGAGTGAGAAGAGGACGTGTTCTCCTGATGTTGTAGAGCGTGTATCTACAGGATGGTGTTGTCAGTGATGTTGGAGTCAGGGAGAGTCGGCTGTCGACGTCACGCTGAGGTTCCTGCAGAAGTATTAACTTGTAAAGTCTGCTGATAGGGAAGAAAAATCAAAGCTGATGCCTCCAGGTGAGTGCTCCTAGATCCCAGTGGTTGCTGGGGCTGCTTTATGAACATGTGTAGGGGGCGCTATCGAGCCAAAATGCTATTTGTAAGCATTGAAATCATATGAAGTAACTACATCTATGACTGTAAATGTGTTTTAAATTTGGTAAAGATTGGAGCACATTTAGTCTCAAAGGGATCTCCGTTTTGACCTTGAAGCAACAAAAAGTTTTTGATAACTTTTATCAGCAAGGCCTTGGGATTGTTTTGTCAGAATTTGAAGTGGCTGTGACAAAGTCCCAGGGAGAAGTTTGTCAAACTACAGCGTCTAGAAAGTACAGAAAATGAGAGGGAATATTGACACAAAAAAAGTTATAACTGACTTCCTGTTCATTTTAGAGCATGGTCCCAAGATACTTTATTTTAAATCTCCCTGTTCTATATATGTCCAAAAACCCTCATACATGTAGGTCACACAGGGGCTATTTAGTTGAAAACTGCCAGGGGGCGCTATGAAGACAATTTACTACTTTTGAGCAAAAACTCCACATCGGCTCTGTAATGTTATTACCACTGACATCACATTTCAAGAGTTTTTGAGTTTGCCAAGTTACCGAAATATCTGCGTGCACTTTCATGCAAAGTGTTGTCAAGGAAACAAAGCTCCCAATATTGACAGTGAACTATTTTTCTTTTATGTCTTTTATTCACAAATTTGAGGTTTTCCAAGTTTAGTAACTGCAGCGCCCGCTAATGTTCAAATGTTGTGAAAATCAGAGCAGGCTCAGGGACTCAATGTGAACATATCCTAGGAGATCTGGTGAGGAAAACCTATGACTACTTTTCAAGTTATAGGTCTTTAACTCTTAGACCACACCCCTTACAAATTTCATTGGTCCGTAACTTTGATAAAAAAATAAGATATCAACAGGCTTTTAATAACCTCCGATGGCATTGGGCCAATATTCATTCCCTGAGAATTTCGTGAAAATCGGACCAAGGGTCTGGGAGGAGTTTGCAAAAATGTGTTTTTCACAAAATTCTAGATGGCGGAAAATCTAGTTTGCATACCATGATTGACTTTTTTTGAAGAGCATATCCTGGAGCACCTGTGTGCAAAATGTCAAGTCAAAAAAGGGGGCGCTGTAGAGCCATTTTTTATCCTTAAATGCACGACCCCAAATATATCAACATTTTTCGCACTTCTGATGTGCACGCCAAATTTTAAGAGTTTTTGAATATGGGAAAGGCCTCAAAAGTCCGATTGAAGTGGCAAAATAATAATAATAATTCTTTGAAACACAATAGAGCTCCGCCCGACTTTCAGTCAGCTCAGGCCCTAAAAATAAAGGCTGCGTCTTTACGTCGTGTCGACGCACTGGTTTCACTTCCTGGTTGTAAAGTCGTGCGTGTGTTGCAGAGAGATTCACCTCCAGAACAACAGGTGGAGTCACGTGTTTTGTTGAAGACGACCTAGAGAGTCACGTCTTTGTGTGTGGAAGTCGTTGGTGGGTTTATTTATTGATCATAGGCTTTATTGCCCCGTGCATCCACACTGCTGCTTTTCATCACATTTGTCCCGTATTTTCCTCCACGACTTTGTTCCCCTCGTTGGTGGAGATCTCCCTCCATGAATCAGAGGCCATCCGGCGTCCTCATCGTCCGCCAATGACGGCTTGTACAAGCGCTCATATTTAAAAGCTCTTCAATCTGATCCGTTCTCTCGTAAACGTTCTTCCTTTTAATAACGGCCGTATTGTGCTGTGAAAACGGAGACGTGAGACTCCGTAAAGGACGTAGTCAGAGACCAATCACAGCCTGGTGCTGCAGGACGCTGCAAAGCTTTCGAGTTCACATTTGTTTGTCAAATGATCAGAACTTTTGACCTGGATTTGGCTCCATAAAGAGGCCTGAAAAGTGCGATTGAAGTGGCAAAATAATAACAATAATCATTCTTCAATAGGGCTTTGGCCTGACTCTCAGTCGGCCCAGGCCCTGATGATGGCAGCAGCAGCAGGGTCATGGCAGGAGGCAGGAACAGGGTCCCGATAGAAGACGGGAGCGGGAAGACGCTCGCTCTCTGTCCGACACACGGGACGCCTTTCACGGCTACTTGTCCACCTTCCTGGCCTCGCTCTATGGTCACCGGCTATGTGTCATTTGAAACAATACATACTTTTAAGTAAAATTTAATTAGCAAAGTAATTTGAACTAAAATACGTGTTTTACAGTGTAGTAATATCTTGGGGAGCGTAGAAAGTGGCTTGTTGGTGAAGAATCGGCCTCCTCCAGACATTCCTCTTTCCTGCATCTGTACAACCTGCTTTAAATATGTTTTGTTACACATCTCCTTAAATAGGGTCAAATTGTGTTCACATGTATTTATTATTAGTTTCCCAACATGACCTGTAAGTGTCGCCAAAGAACCACGACAGCCCTGACGTCGTTTCCACGCTCATTTTGCTCTTCATCTGATCGTTGACGTGAGAAAGTGCGTTCGCCACGTTTTTCGATCTTCTCTGATCACGCAGAGAGGAATCGCAGTTGACGCTGAGCCTTATTCGTATTTACAGATTGTCCATATAAATCTTCCACAACACTACGAAATGTTCCACAGTGCTGATATAAATATCACATGTAACAACTTAAACAGTTACATTCAGTGACTTAAATACAGTCATCTAACATTATATAACATTTGTACTTACAGTTGTGTTTATTTTCCATTTGTCATTGTTGCCTGTTGCTGCTGTGAAATGCATTCTGGGATATTTGGCTCGGACAAGTCTGCTGCGATGGATTCTGGGTAAAATGGACGCGGCGAGTCACATCCGGGCATTTTGACCGTTCTCGGCGAGATGCGGACTCTAAAATTGGAACAGTCCGCAGGCCACGACTGAGGACGTTTCACGAGTCTACGAGGACACGAGGACACAAGGACACAAGGACACTCAGGAACGCATATTGAGAAACGGCCCACGTCTCTGGAGTAATGTCGGCTGTCAGCTCGGACCAGTTCCGGACCGGAGCCGAACCGGAGCAGCAGGAGAGCGGAATCCTGCAGCCGCAGACCGTGTTCGTCCTGCTTGACTCGGCTGAAACCATCAACCTGGTCCGGTGAGTCCACAGAGAACCGGACGCCAGACTCCGTTAAACAAAGTGCCTCGTTGGTTGAACTCGGCTGAAGAGAATCGGTGGACATTTAATCACAGACTCGTTCCCTTCAAGTCTACACGCGCCTTCAGTTACGTCACTAGTCCGAAGCTCCAGTAGCTTCGTCTCTCAGAAACACGAAGGAAGCTTTAATGTTACGCTGCCAGTGATACTTTCCCGTCTAAGACTTGTTCTTACAGTTGTTGACTTTTGATCACACACACACACACACACACACACACACACACATCATGTGAGCGGTGAGACAAAAAGTAAAGCAATGTTGTGTTCACTGTCTGTGTTCAATGTTGTGTTCACTGTCTGTGTTCAATGTTGTGTTCACTGTCTGTGTTCAGTGTTGTGTTCACTGTCTGTGTTCAGTGTTGTGTTCACTGTCTCTGTTCAGTGTTGTGTTCACTGTCTCTGTTTGGGACACAGTCTCCCAGTGAGTCCTGCAGACAGGAAGTGACTCAGCTGAATTGAGCGTTGTCCTGCTCGTGTTTGTCTCGGTGGGTCACGGCAGCGTGAAGGTGCTCAGCGTGGAAACTGGTGATGGGAAGTTGGGATCATTTTGCTGACTCGGCATCTCGTTCAGTAAAATGAACAAATCATTGGTTCTTCACGCGGGCGTGTTGCTGTCATCACGTATCGTGTTCTCATGTAGGTCAGTGCATAGAAACCAGCAGGTACTATTTCAAAATAAATCCCTGCATTAATTATGTATCATGACAGTTTGGATGATTTGAAGTGGTCATTTATTATCACGCTAGCATTTAATTATCATTTCACAACCTTCAACTTCTTCATTGAATATCTTCACTTTGACATTTAGAGCACTGAGCATACGCTCAGTGTGCGAGAGCCGCTTGCGTGTCCCTTGCGTGTCTTTTCACACCTCCTTGCGTGCGTCGACCCATTTTTCTGGACTAGCGTGTAAAGCTTTGCAGCCTCCTGCAGCAGCAGGCTGTGATTGGTCTCTGACTACGTCCTTTACGGAGTCTCACGTCTCCGTTTTCACAGCACAATACGGCCGTTATTAAAAGGAAGAACGTTTACGAGAGAACGGATCAGATTGAAGAGCTTTTAAATATGAGCGCTTGTACAAGCCGTCATTGGCGGACTATGAGGACGCCGGACGGCCTCTGATTCATGGAGGGAGATCTCCACCAACGAGGGGAACAAAGTCGAGGAGGAAAATACGGGGACAAATGTGTCCTTGATGCAAAGCAGCAGTGTGGATGCACGGGGCAGTAAAGTGTGTGACTGCAGGATGCTTGTGCCCGTTCTGCCTCTTGTCGGCGGTCAGAGTGACGATATCGAGCGTGGATGGGGGGGTTGATGAGGCCCCGCAGGTCGCCCTTGTGTGGGCTGGAGGGGTGGGGGGGGTCCAACAGGAAGTCGGAGGGTGAAGGAGGTCGGGGGTCGCTCGTTGGTGAGATTTGGTTCCTCGGACAGCGAGGAGGATATGGGGGGGGGGGGGCTCTGCCTCCAGCATCTCCTCAGGTGGGACTCTCTCTCACACCTGTCTCCCTCTCAGGGTGGAGTCTGGAATCGTCGCTGACATCGAGGTCGACAGTTTGTTGCCGTCTGACTGTGACACGTTTTACCAGATCAAGAGTCAGCCGCTCAGCACCAGGTAGCACACGACCTCTGACCTCGAGCCCTGACAGAATTCAGTTTGAGAAACTTCCTGTTAACTGTGGAATTGTGCTCTTCTTCCCAGATTCAATTTTAATATTTCAAATACATTTACTTGAAAATATGTTTACATGTAATAAGTGGAAAAGGACCTTTTTATAGTCTATATATTGCAATGCAATTAATTCAAAACAAAGAGAAGACAACTCTTATTTGGGAAACAAAATGTCCCTTTTTCCTCAAAGGAGCCCCTGACCGAAAGGATTTGGGAACCACTGCTTTATATTGTCATATTTCATTACAACGAATTGAATGATATGATTATAAATGAACCCTCTCTAGTCTCTAAATCAAGTCATGTGAGGAGATCAGACTTTTGATGATGACGGAAGGATTTCATTCAATTATCTTTTCTTTAGTGCGTCAACAGCAGCTTCATCATGTTCCTCCTCACTGCCCTCCAGGTAACACAAGTACACACACACACACACACATGGGGACACATGGCACTACTCCATTCCCACCTTCTCTCCTCCTCCTGCAGGGTTCTGATGCGTCAGGATCTCATGCGTCAGCAGGCTCTGGGCGAGGAGCAGAAGGAGTTGCAGCAGAAGCTCCTTCACTCGATCGGCTCGTCCTCCCCCATCTCTGTCTCTGTGTCCTCCTCCTGCAGACCTGCCCAGGTTCCTGTGGAGGTGCTGAAGGTAGGAGGGGAAAAGCAGAGCAGAAGTTTAGTTTATTTATCTCTCCTCACTGTTAAATCACTGGATCCTACTTTTCCCATGATGCACCTGTGAATATGCCCCCTCTCTCAGGTACAGACCCACTTGGAGAACCCCACCAGGTATCACATCCAGCAGGCTCAGAGGCAGCAGGTACGTCAGTACCTCTCCACCGCAGCCAACCAGGATAGAGCTGGACCCCCACCAAGCCACTCCCCCTCTGTGGGCGTGGCCACCAAACTACAGCCTGCCAACATCTTCAGAAAATCCCAGGTAGTGATCTGTTCATTAAGTACTAGAGGTGGAGGGGGGGTTGCGTCCTTATGGTGGAAATGCACTTATTGTAAGTCGCTTTGGATAAAAGCGTCACATAAATGTAACTACAACTCAATGCAGAAAACAATCTGACACTTGCATGATATAGATTGACAAGACCGTCATCGATGACATAATCAGCCTGGAATCAAGCCTGAATGAGGAGTTTCTGACACTGATTGAATCCGGATTGCAGCTTGCCAACACGGTAAGAATAAACACAGGAAACCTCCAGGAACTATTTAGGAAAAACACCAGTAATAATTCAGGAAACATCCAGGAAAAATACCAGGAAACGGGCAGAAAAACAGGGAACACCATCGCAAAATACCAGGAAACATCTATGATGAAAGGAGCTTCCATGTTAATGTTAATATATTCATATCTTAGTGAAGCTGTTTCATTATGAAGCCATTTCTCACTCTACACTATTGTTATACAGAGCGGTGCTAGTGGAAGCACCAGTACATGAAGGCTCATAGGGAGGATTTAGGTATTTCTTTAGGAGTCGTTTCCTCATTTCTCAACAGTCTTGTGAACAGAAAGAGGAAGCGTGTGTGTCAACCAACACACTGGTGTTAGTGAGGAATCGGAGAAGATGAGACTTTTAGTGTTACTGCCGGACCATGAGAGGAGGAGGATTAAATCTGAGGTAAAGACCTTTTCTTGTTTTAGGTCCGTTTGAGCTGCAGACTCAACAGTAAAGAGTATTTACAGTCTTTACTAAAGTAAAAGGTTCAGGGCTCTTTTCCTCGTATGGACAAATTCCATCAAATGTCCTTTTAGCAGGAGATGATCATGAATATGAGGAGTCCAAGACCATAATCTGTATATTTGGGAGGATCCTCCCCCGTCTCTCTAAAGCTTTCGTTTCTTCATTCATTTGTTGCGTTCCTCCTGCGCCCATGTGAGGGTTTCAGGACAAAGGATGTCTCATGTGTAGACTGTAAAGCCCTCTGAGGCAAATTCACCATTTTAGGCAATATGAAATAAAATTGAATGAATCAAATAATAATGGCAAAAACTGACAGCGGCCCCCTGCAAGGCTACAAGTGTCGCACACAAGTTAAATGTGATTAAATGTATAGGTTTATTTTAAGTGCCTCATCACTCTAATCAATTTAAATGTAGCATGAGAATAATGATCTCAACCCTTTCACAATAAGTAGATAAAAACAAGCTTTGATATGAATGAATAGGATATATGTACTGTATCAGCTCATGGATGTGTGTAGATGTCCATATAGAACTATGAGTTTTATGTGTGTGGGAGAATCATAAAATATACTGTTGATAATCAGACATTTGATCAATTGAAGCAGTGAAATGTGGAACATCCAGAAGTTTATTAAGAGACAAATAAACCAACAGAACTTTACGAAGAGCACGACATGCAGCTGCTTTCCAGATGTTCCCTGCATCGCAACACCGTACAGACAGTATGAGAGACAGTATTTGGGACAAGTGTGTGAGACAGTATTTGGGACAAGTGTGTGAGACAGTATTTGGGACAAGTGTGTGAGACAGTCTGTGGGACAGTATGTGAGACAGCGTGTGGGACAGTATGAGAGACAGCGTGTGGGACAGTATGAGAGACAGTCCGTGGGACAGTATGAGAGGCATGTGTGAGAGACAAGTGTGTGGGACAGTATGAGAGGCATGTGTGAGACAGTGTGAGAGACAAGTGTGTGAGACAGTCTGTGGGACAGTGTGTGGGACAGTATGAGAGACAAGTGTGTGAGACCGTGTGTGGGACAGTATGAGAGACAGTCCGTGGGACAGTGTGTGAGACAGTATGAGAGACAAGTGTGTGAGACAGTGTGAGAGACAAGTGTGTGAGACAGTCTGTGGGACAGTATGAGAGACAGTCCGTGGGACAGTATGAGAGACAAGTGTGTGAGACAGTGTGTGGGACAGTAAGAGAGAGTCTGTGGGACAGTATGAGAGACAGTGTG